TWTMKCRYWTTKWSWCWMMAWWTGGGCTTACGAACTAAAACCTGCTCAGAATCCAACATTCGATGCTTGAGACCGATTATTTGACCTAAAATCACATTTTAACCATTAACCACTCCCYRTATTCACCTGATATGGCACCGTRTGACTTCTTCCTTTTCAGAAAAATGCATTTGCCCATGTAAGGAAAGCGTTATGCAATGAAGCAAAAGGAGACTAGTTTTTAATAAAATAAATTGATTTTGACGAAAACATTTGTTCTATTGTTTTTTTTTTTAACTCCTGTTTACTTTGGAACACACCTTGTAGTAAGTGTCTTAATTTTTATAATTTATACAAATATTTCTAATACTCGTACATATGTATTGTAACAAAACACCAAACAGCCTGTATGGTACTCTGTGTAGAAAATCTATTCCTGGTACTAAGTTTACTGATTACACTTCTAAATAACTGCTTGTATATWCACATACAATGTAGATAAAGAGTTAAGAGGAATTATTCGTCTTTAGCTATCATCTATTTATATAACGATTACCTTGAAAGTAGTGTTACCAGATCGTGTTTATAATTATTTTCAAAAAAACTATCCGCAAATACTGATTTCGAAAAATTTTTTCCACCACAAGATAGTTCTTAAAATTTTCTGAAATATTTAGAGGAAATTTATGCAAATATATTCWAAGTTTCGTAAATGAATAATACGAGTCCTATAATTATAGTTTACGGTTTTGAACGAGACTTAGTACAAAAACAGAAAATTTCCTTTTAATATTTTTTTTCTATAATATATAATAATTCTATAAAAAAATATTACCTAATCGCTTCAAAAAACTGATAACAAAATTAAAAAAAAAAAAATACAAAAAATCCTTAAAAGTTATGTGGCAACCCTATCACTTGTAATTRTTTTCTATCTTTGTGAAATACTTAAAATGCGGGTGAACAGTTAGATGAACAATTGCATGCAATTACTTCAGAATGCGCGACAACAGTAGTTAATATTCTATTTGCATAAGCATCAAGCAGCAGATATAGAAAATCATAAATCATACGCATACAGAACTCAACATGTTGAAAATAATTCATACACTGTCTTTGTGTTTCATTAACATCAGTTGCCCCTAAGCTATAATACCCTTCACTGGCACTTATTTGTAGGGATTTTCAATAGGGTACTACAAAAGTAGACCGATAGGGACAACAAAGGATGCCATATTTTTTCACACTTTTTTAACATTTCTCCTCAGTAAGGTTTGCAACATCCTAATGGAAAGATATACGATTCAACAAGGAAACGAAGCTATTAATATTGACTACCGAAATTCGTTGTTAGTGGCTTCAACTTTAAGAGCGCTAAGTCCAACTTATGGTCATCATAATCGTCCTGTCAGATCAACAATTGAGCGCCTAGTGGAAAAATTTTAATCCACATGCATGAATTTTGCAAGAGCTGAAGCCGCTGGACCACCAGAATCGTCACATGTGCGTGAATTGGGTTGAGCAACAACTGTAAAATGATCCTGGCAGTAATCCACACGTACTCCATTTGCATCTCAAAAAATTACGGTTTCGTKTGGTTTATGGGCCGGTGGCKTCATTCTGYGGTACTTCTTCCATGATAACCAAGACCGCCACGTGATTGGRAATCGCTACCACTCAATGTTAACCGAATATTTTTGACATGAATGGAATGATATGGATTTGGATAATATGTGGATCCACACAGCRAATGTCATAATCGATATACKGAAAATCAACTTAGGTAAACGTGTTATCTCACGAAACGRCCCAGTCAATTGCCAYCTCGGTCGTGCGATTTGACGCCGTTAGACTATTTCCTGTGGCGTTACGTCAAGTCTRTGATCTATGCCAATAAGCCAGAAACGACTGATGAACTTCGTACGAATAGCGAAAGTGAAACTGCAGCAGCATTGGTCGATTTATGCTTGAAAACCGTTGAAAATTCGGTTCAGTTTCTGGACTTCTGCAAGTGGTGGGTATGCAAAAGAAATCGGGTCCCATACATAATGGCATCGAATGTACTTTTACAGGAATCTTATTGAAAAACCCGTTACGTAACCGTAAACGTAACCGGCCAATGGTTTTCGTCACCTGGAAAACATTTTGCTAGTTCTCTCATTGTGTCACGTTTTGTCTTTAAGTCGCGATAAGATTAAAAAATATATTCCGGAAATATCTATATTGACAAGTTTGCATGGCAACTATACGCTATAGTAATCCTATAGCAAATTGTAGCGTTGCCTAGGGTAATAAACTGTGTCAAATCACGAGAATATATACTGCCAAATAAAACCTTGTCCATGCAAGGACTTGCTTTGATCGGTAAAATGATATGAGAACTATATGCTATAGGGTTCTGCTCTGAACAAATTCTTCGTTAACTGTACAGTTCCTTTAGAGGATAATCTGTGTGAAATTTTGTGAAGATATTTTGTCAAATAAAAAAGTTTTACACAAATGGTCTTGATCGAAACTTGTGACACTCTTGTGAGAAAAATGATGTGTGTAAAATTTCTTATCGGTATCTTAGGACTGATGGTCTCTGACCTGACGACTGCAGTTCGACAGATCGATGGGTATGGGTTAAACTACTAGCTACGACGCTGATCACTCAGCTCGTTAATAATATATAATATTGGTTAGTCGAAAAAGTCTTTCGTATTTCAACTTAAATTTTTTTATTTTTTTTTTTTAATACTATAATGAGCTTTAATGAACAATTTTTYCGTGTAAATCCATTGGTGTAAATCTTTTTTGGTATCTCGGCGAAAACTGCGAGAAGTAATTTTCAAAAGCTTCTTTTTTCCATTAAGGAATTTCTGCACCGACCGAAACAAAAGGTAGTCTGATGAAGGAAGGTTAGAGTTATATGATGGATGCATCAAAACTTCCCAGCCAAGCGCTCCCAGTTTTTGACTCGTCATCAAAGATGTGTGTRGTCTAGCGTTTTCCTGATAGAGACGAAGCCTTTTCTGTTGATAAGTTCTGACTGTTTTTTCCGATTGCTTGCTTCAATTTTGACAGTAAAATGTAGGATCAAACATTCGACTAGGCTGAAGCAGATCATAGTGGATGATTCCTTTCCAAACCCACGAAACAATCAGCATAACCTTTCGAATCGTCAATCATGGTTTTGCGCCCATTTGTTGRGCTTCACCATGCTAGGACCATCATCTTTGCTGTATTTGATCCTCTTTTCGTCTCCTGTTGCCATGTTACCAGTCGCTTTGGAAATGATTCGATTTCATTTCGTTTCAGCAAAGAGTCACAGATGTTAGTTCARTCCAAACTATACAAACATCGACCTTTTTTTTGCAGCCAGCCTTTTTTTAAATGGTTCAAAACTATTTGATAATGAATGTTAAGTTCGTTAGCTATGTATTTGATGCTAATGTGACGAGGTGCATCTTTCACATTGAAATTTTCTTCCCTTTTTTTTACACACATTTCAAAATACAGCAAATTTCTTAATTATTTTCACTCATTTTGGAACTTATGCGAATTTTTTTGGTTAAATGAAGCTTAAAATATGAGATTTCCAACACTATATGCCATGACACAATGTGAGTGGTAGCGAAGAGTTTTTCGACTACCCAATATATTTGTTATAAATCACCAAAAAGTGGCGTGGCTACCGGACATTTGTAAACATTTTCAATACCAAAGCAAATATATTTCTAGGTCTTTAAGGACATATAACTTTTAAGCGCGCATTATATAATATTAACAACCGGCATGAACATTTTGGAAATAAGGTTTTTATTCAAGCCACGGCAAATTTATCTATCGGGTAAGATGACTATGCAGTCTAACTAATCCCACCAAGAATATTACAAAACACGTGCTAAGTACACATATACGAAATTAGAATGATATTTCGTTAACATTCTATGTATGTATATAATTATATACGATTTCAAAAGATAACCACTTTGGTTGAAACAACGATAAGTGATTATATATTGTAACAATATAATTACGTGTCCCGTAGGATTTAAACTCAGAGACTCGTTAATCGTTGAGCGGTCAGCTGTCGTTGCACAAATGCAGCTGCATTCAAAAGCATTTCGGAATTCGTTACAAAAAAGTGGTAGTAAATTTTGAATTTATTGAAACTTTGAGTCAATCGTGAACCATGGTCTTGAACCAGAGCATCAAGGAAGCAAAGCGTGAGTTTTTCTCAACAATTTTAAGCTTTATTTAAAAAATGTGTGATTTTAATTTTTTAAAGTGATATTATTGTTCTCATTGTATTTTCGAAGTGCCGATCTTCGGTCGACGCCATGTACAGTGTTTATTGCTCTTCTTTGGCGTCTCGCTCATCTATGCCATGCGCGTCAATCTTTCCATTGCCATTGTGGCGATGATGGATAAGAATGCGTCAAATCCCGATTTTCCTGTAAGTATAGTGATATGCAAATATGAAATATATAAAATGAAAATATATATGGCGAAGCCTCAAATTCACAGAAATCTTTTGAAATCGTCACAAAAAATTTAAAAGTGCTAGCTAATTGTGAAAGAGAGTTAAGAAATATGACAGGTACTCTCATTTAACAGGTGAACATTTAAAACGGCAATGTCTTTATTGAGGTAAAGAAAATGTTCCTACTCTAAGCATAGTATAAAAAAAAAGTAACGCCGAGTCGAAAGGTCGCCTTGACTTTCAATGTAATTCAAACTGTTGTCAGCTCTTTGAAAAATTCCAGAAATGAGAAAAAACATTAGAATGCATAAACCCACCAAAGTTTTAAAAATACATATAARGCTTAGTACGAAAGTTCAGTCAACCCCCAGAGAGAAAGAGGAAAGTTGAGTGCTATCTCGCTCAGTTTTCCTCTCATTTCTCTCTGTAATATATGGCGAACCGAACACAAGGTTTGTGTGTAAGCTCCTCCGAACAAAACAAAATAAAATTAGTGAGAGCTCTTCAATAGTCAAACTTTAAATAAAGATTGCCAATGGCTGTTTGGAGATTCCGTTATAAACAATCCGATACTTATTACTTTGTTAAGAAATCACAGGCAGTATATCTCCATTGTAGCATCATATACTTGAAGTCTTCGCATAAGGGTATCTGTTATGGGAGTTTTATCGGACCTTTTCCAAGATGTATTGTTTTGACTGAACAACTGATAAACGAAAGTTGTAATTGGTCCAAAGATTTACTGATCTACTTTCGTATTTTAGACTGTAAACGAAGTACCTTACTGACTGACTAATATTTAATCATAATCCAAATAATAATCAACTAACTTAATCTTCTCTAAATTATATCCATAATATTATTTCAACTATTCACAGGATTACAAATGGTCGGAGCAAACAAAATCTCGAGTGATCAGCAGTTTCTTCTGCGGTTACATTTTCACACAAGTTCCTGGTGGCAATTTGGCGCGACGTTTCGGTGGCAAAGTAATGGTACTTTTTACGATGACCAGCAGCAGTATATTGGCTATATTGACACCGTGGGCCGTCAGCATAGGCGACTGGTGGTTATTATGTGTTCTACGCTTCCTACAAGGCTTAGGACAGGGTTCGACCATGCCAGCTACGGTAACAATACTGGCCAAATGGGCGCCAGTTGAGGAACGCAGCTCTTTGGGAACATACCTCTTTTCGGGAGCACAATTCGGCACAGTTGTAATGTTGGGTAGCAGCGGCGCACTGGCCTCCTCCAGCTTAGGTTGGCCAAGTATTTTTTATATACCCGGTATGTGCGGTTTGTGTTGGGCATTAATTTGGCTATGGCTTGGCGCGAGCTCACCGCGAGATTGTAAAGCTATTACACTTGCTGAACGCAATCACATCGAAACCTCATTGAATGCACACAAGAAAGATGACCACGAACATGAAATGCCCACCAAAGTACCGTGGCGTAAGATAATCACTTCACCACCATTTTTGGCATTACTAGTGGCACAATGCGGCTACACATGGGCCTTCTGGACTCTGCTCACGCAAATACCGTCGTATATGAATAGTGTACTTCACAAAGATATTAAGAGTAATGCGTTACTCTCTTCCCTACCGTATCTCACGATGGTAATTTTGGGTTTCATTTGTTGTCCCTTCGTTCGTGCTTTCGAGGAATCAAAAGTAGTTAGTACGACAACTTCGCGCAAAATTTTTAATACCATCGGTCAATGGATACCCGTACCCACATTCATATGGTTGGCTTACGTGAGCGCAGATGAAAGTGATTTGGCTGTGGTGCTCTTAACGGTGACTGTTGCGATCAGCTCGATAACACATTTTGGCTGGCAGGTGAATCATATTGATCTCTCACCACACTTTTCTGGCACATTGGTGGGTTTGACAAACACAGCCGCAAATATAATGAGCATCATTGCACCACTGGTTGTCGGATATATCGTGACCGATCCGGTAAATTTTTACAAAATGCAAAAAAATATTAAAATGTTCAAAATAATTTTTAAAAATTTTACAGACAAGTTCACAACAATGGCGTATAATATTTTTCATCGCTGGCGGCTACAATTTCATTGCGAATGCGCTATTCCTCGCATTCGGCTCAGCAGAAATGCAACCCTGGCATAATGACGAAGTCAAGGTGCAGGAGCTACAACCACTAAATGAGAGTTCGCTGGTGACGAAACCGGTTGACGTTGAGAAGGGGAAGGAAGCTGTTTAATTCTTTTTTGTATATTATTTGTTTTAATTTTTTGTTTAACAAAATATYTCGGTATTTYATTTTATATTTATCGGTAWKTCATCGRAAATGTAYGTTTTGCAACTAGTTTGAGTTKAGTGTATGAAAGATAGGTCTGYCTTAGTAGTTATAGAAAAATTGTAYATAAATTATGTTTCTAGATATATTTTAGAGAATTAAATTTTAATGTTTAGAGAAGACATGTAAGCGGAAAATTATAAYAAATCGAMATTAAAATAAATGTGCAATATTTTAYAAACTTTAAATTCTGAAAAATTCTGAACATGAAAAAACCAGTCAAATTAAATTACAAAAGCATTAAACTGTCTTACATTCCAAGAAGTTGGAAAAGAATTATAGTGGTGTTCCTACCAAAACTAGGCAGAAGAACACACGATAAAATATGCTGATGGGACTGGAAGGCTATTGAACTTACATATAAGAACAACCATGGCGGATACGTTATTGAAGTCCCAATATGCATACATAAAGRGCCGATTAACCGAAACTGACCCTCACGATAAGGTAAGTGTAAATGAAAAATCACCACAGTACAAACAATACRCAATGGCTGCATTTCTTGATATGGAGTCTTTAATAACACAGAAGTAAGAACGATCATTAATTCCCTGACACGTGGCGGCTTAGACGACACGKTGTGCAGATGGATACAATCGATGCTTAAGAATTGAAAGGTTATAGCATCAAACTGCGCTGCAGCATAAACAAGTTATGTGAGTAAAGGGATTCCTCAATGAGGGGTCCCCCTTCAATGGGTTGTAGCGTTCAACGAAATACTACTCCAACTAAACGGTGGAGGGATGAAAGCAGTAGCATAAGCAGACGATATAGTGTTGTTGGTATCAGGCATGTTTAATTCAACAGTCAGTGAGATTATGAAAAGAGCACTACACAGGTTAAACCTATGGGATAAGAATAATGGACTAGGTATTAACCCTAATAACCCTAATAAAACAGGCGAATATCGCATTCGATGGAACGATGAACTGTACGAGATATATGACGACGTTGACATAGTTCACCGAATTAAAAGACAGCGGCTACGCTGGCTAGGTCATGTTGTCCGGATGGACGAAAACGCTCCAGCTCTGAAAGTATTCGGCACTGTACCCGCCGGGGGAAGCAGAGGAAGGGGAAGACCTCCACTCCTTTAGAAGGACCTGGTGGAGAAGGATCTGGCTACGCTTGGAATATCCAATTGGCGCCACGTAGCGAAAAGAAGAAACGACTGGCATCTGCCGAAGCTGCGAAATAGTAGAGAATAAGGAAATTATTTTTCGCTTCCTCTGTGAATGTCCCGCCCTAACGCAGATCTGACAAAGAACAATTGAAGTCCATCAAGCACAGGGCCTTGAATGGATGTCTACAAAAAGCATAACGGGCATTAGTAGCTTCATCAAAACCATGAAAAGGTTTGAAAGGGAAGGTGAAACATGATAGCAATAATAAAAAGGTCCAAGACTGGTTCATCAAAACTAGCACAGCTAGTGCTAATTGTGTGATAAAAAGAGCAACAAAGACGGTGAACGCAGCAAACACGCAGACGAGGTTGTTACCGATGAAAAATCAAAAAAATCCACGATAAAGTTACAGCCTAAATAGATACCCTAAAGTACAAACGAAATGTGTGCATTATATGATACGATACGCTACGCAAAGTGGGTGCCGAGAAAGCCCACTTTTGACCTAAATCAACGACGATCACTAATCATCAAGTGATTCAAGCAGGCATTTTCAAATATTTTAAAGAAGCCCGACACAAGGAAAATGGGTGCAATATGAATTGAAGCTAAGAATTAGTGGAAAACAATTTTGATGTCAGAAATGCTGCTCGACGCTACACGAAAGAGTGATTTCTGAAGCGGTTTGCAAATGGTGATAAAAATGGATCCATTACCACAACGCTGAAAATCATATGTTAAAACAGATCAACCAGCCAAATTAGGGCAAATCCGAGAATGACAAAGGTCAGCTTCATATTCTAAGTGTATAAGAGTTGCTTACTTCGGCAGACTTATGTTGCACGGCAAACTTTACTTTCCAGCTTCCAGTGTACACATGGACGAAATAGCCATCTTAATAGACTTTTTATTTTTACGTTAAAACTATTATGTCAAAGTGACTTTTAAGCCAAAACCTATTGCATCACATTAAATAACCTTTGAGCATCGTGAACATACGCATTGACTGAAAATATTGAGTTCTATATTCTCAATAACACTTAAGCGGGTAGTTAACTTTAAACCATGTAAGCTAYAGATGCTGAAAGGAAAGTCCTTACATCACTACCCCACAGATAGTAATAATTAAGCCCCGAACAGAAACCGAAACTGAAAAGTGTCAGGAGCTAAACTGAATGCCAAAAATAATAAAATACTTTTTCAGATATCAAACTAGAAACTGCTTCCAATGCTTGGCTAGTTTTGAATGTTTTAGGCTTATGAATTTCCCTTTCTGCAGATCAATTCCTCGTTATCGTTACAATTCCAAGACGTAACCTTCTGTGTAGCTTTGAACGATTTATGCAATGCACTCCTAATATCCATTTCTCGTTGCCTTATCAAAAGTCATATGTCAGCAACTCTGAGTAAGCTTACTGCTTTTAAAAGTTCATTAAACTCTAAAACTCAGGTTCATTGCCAAAATTCTATGACAAAAAAATTAAAAGATATGCTTGTTTATAAAATAAAAAGTGTTCTTTTGTATATTTATATACTATATGACATTAGCATTTAAACAGTCGTCGACAAAAATAAATGTAAATTATTCGCTATAAGCAGATTATTATTACGGATCGTATAACCCAACGATTACCTTCCCACACAACCGATGTGAGGGGCGCATCCGCAAGTATTTATACGTTAAATCAAGGGAAAGCCAAGAATGACACCTCTTGTTCTCACGTTGCAAGACCAGGTCAAAACTATTTAGAAAACAGCGGCTGGGAAGTTTTGTCTTAGAATGAAAATCATGACATATGCGATGGAATGGTTCGCTAGGTTCAAAATTTTATCTACAAGTTTTTAACAGTAAGGGTCTAAACTGCCTCGAAAAGCGAACAGGGAATTTAACTTCAGATAGCATATAATAACAGCTAACTGTTCTATTTAGGAGTTTTACTTAGATTATAAAGCCATATATGGAKGAAGACTTAACCTAGTTATCCATCGGAAATACCCTAAAGTTAAAAGTAAAATTGCTTATGAAAAAAATCCAACTTGTCAGAATGGGTTTTTTAACTTGCRTGCCATACAACACAGCCTTATTCCAATAACCTAACCAAAAGTCGTAAAAAGTGTTTCTTAGAATTACATTTAACAAAACTGAGAATATTTTTCACTTTCGAGAGTCATTGCACTGGCGAAGAGGCTCTCACGTTACTGTTGACAATCATAATTTCGAAGCTGTAGATAATTTCGTCCCGCTTGGAACCARCAATTGAGAAGTGAAGTCCTCTCTCAACRAACAAAGWTCAAACTCTACAAATCACTCATCATACSSGTCCTGTTATATGGTGCAGAGGYATGGAYGMTGACAACATCTGATTAGTTTTGGAAGATTTATGATTCTTTGCGCGTTGGCCGCAGGGAATATCGCATTCGRTGGAACGATRAGCTACTATATATRAGATATAGGRCAACAMTGACATAGTTCAGTGAAAAMTGAGACAGCGGYTGCACTGGCTAGRTCATGTCGTAAGTATGGACTAAAACAATATAATCGCGTATGCGATGTCTAAGCTAGTAAAGAAAAAGAAGATTTTACGAAATCCATGCTGAGAAGAAGAAATTAACGGAGACATCSGAAAAGTTTAAGGGTCTGCAAGAATAGCATCGAAAAGTTTAGGTATAACTGATAGTTTTGCAATACCCCTATAGTTTTCTATGTCTGACCAAAGCACCATTCCAGTACATGGGTAGACTGTAGGTGTGATAAACACAAGTGTATTCTATAGGTTTCTTTAAATATCGTCACAGTCTCGAAAATATATATGACAGAGAGTCAGACAGGCGGTTTTACAGATATTTACTGAGTTTCAGTTACTTTACTAAGTAAAATAATTTATTTCCCATATTCCTAAAATGTTTCGCCATCAAAAAGGAGTGAACTTTTCGAGAATATTTTATTTCGATTTCAACGTGATGTGTCCAGTGCCTTCTCGTTAAGAAATAAGGTYTCCAATCTTGATCTCAAAGTTCTCATTTTGAATCAGTAGAATAAGTTATAAGTTCTAATCACTTTTTCATCTATATATTTTCAAAAACAGATATGATGGAGATATAGATTTTAAAAATTATTTTCTCAAGACCGAAAGAATAAAATTAAGTAGGCCAATAAGCCACGCATAGACCAGTTTTGGTAATTTGCGATACCAGATGGAGTTCAATTGAGAGTTCCTGTGATCCATCGCACTCTCAATATTGTAGTCTATGTCTAAAAGACTTTCCTTGAATATTTTTTCGTGCTTACTGTACACCGTTCAAGTTTAATAATAAATGCAGCTGCAAAACGAAGCGAATGCAGAATTAAGATTAACCAAGGCGAGGCTCTGTGCAAGGCAATGTGGCAGAATATTTATGATTAGATTTAGAATTAGCTAGATATATAAAAATATTATCATTAGAAAAAATGTGTTACTGCGTATAAAGTTGCATTWGACGTGTGGAGAATGTGTTATTTTGTAAGTTAATTTATAAAGCGAAGTTGTCAGTGGCATCAGACACATTTGGGACTGATACAGGATCACGGAAGGTCGCTTACAAAAACGAATCATAATTTTAAAAGTGAAAACTGCGCTTAAACATGTTCGAAAAGCGGCGTTGTTCACGAGAAATCGTTGAAAATTTAAATAGTCCTGTAATAGGCGTGCGGCATATGCTGTGCATGCTAATATTCTGCGGTCTTTGCTTGGTTTATGGCATGCGTGTCAATCTCTCAATGGCCATAGTAGCGATGATGGACAATGCAGCTGCGAATCCGAACTTTCCAGTAAGTCTTTGTAATATTAAATTCAATCTATTTTCGAAATAATTTAAGCAAATTTG